GCCTAATAAATTTATATTTATAAAAGTATTTTTATAAATAACTAAAATATTACTAGCGCCTTATAATTTATAATTATTTTAACCTTTTATAATATATTTTAAAAATAATGCCTTTATTTATAAAAAAATTTTATAATAGCCAGGAGCTTTTACTTACTAGTAATATAATTATACTTTACTAAAATAAGCTTTTATAAAAAAAAAGCCACAGGCTTTTATATTTTTTTAAAATATAACTAGGTTAATATACTATAAAAATTATTTTTAAAGGTATTTATTTTTACTTATATAGCTAACTTTTTTATAAAATAATTTAAATATACTATTTTTTAAATTTTTTTTTAAAAAAGTTCACCGTGTTACAAGCTTTTAGTATTATAATTAATATTTTATTTTTAGTTATTCTCGCGGGATTATTTTTTAGTTTTTTAAAAAAATTTATAAAAACTACTATTACTACCGCGTAGGCATAAATAAACCTGTAATATTAATTAATAAAGCCTAAAAATATAAGAATATTATGTATTATTTTTAGTATTAGCCACTTTTAAATTATAGCCATATATAATTCCTTTATTTTAATTTTATTAGGTATCATAATATACCCTAGAAAGTTAATTCTTTATATTATAAATATATACTTACTTTACTTATAATATAGGCCTGCCTTATAAAGCCTTTTTAATATTTTATAAATATATTTTTTATAACTTTTTATGTCCTATAAAAATATAATAATATTATTAATATATACTATAACTATAATATTTAATAAATTATAAAACACTTAATTTATAAAGCCCTAGAATATTACAGGCATATTAATAAGCCTAAATAATATTATTAAGTACTTAAACAGCCTGTACTTTGTATAAAACACTGTTTTTTATTTATTTTTAGCTATAATATAAATATAGTTATATATATTATAAAAATCTAATTATATACCAATTTTAGTACTACTTAGCCTTGTAATTATCTTATTAATTAAAAGCAGGAAATATTAATTTTTATAAATATAATATTTAGCCCGCGGAAGTCCACGCATATATAAACTTTATTATTTTTTTTAAGTATATATAGTAAAGGCGCCCCTATAAAAAACTTTAATAATTAAATTTAACCCTTTATAAATATTATTTATATATACTTATAAATAGCTACTATTTCCTATGGGAAGTGATAATATAAAAGTTTAAATAATAATTTTTTATTATTTTTAACCTTAATCTTTAAGTTAACCCCTTTATAATAAGGTGGGAGCTATTATAACTTTTTTTTTAAAAATATTTTTATAAAATCCCTGTACTAGTTAGGTAATTCCTTACCTAATATAATTTATTTAATTTTTATTATATTAATTTAAAAAGTTTTAATTTATTTTTTATATATACCCTTAGCAAACTTGTTCGCGGAGACCCTTTTTATATAATAATCTTATTTTATAAAGGTTAATTTTTTTATAGCCTAAACTATTTATAAATTATAAATTTTTAGTTATAATATACTTAATATTACTTACTTTATATTTAGTAATATTACTACAAGCACCCGGAACTTTTTTTAAGTTTTATATAAATCTTAAAGGTGTATATTTACCTTTATAATACCTTTATTTTATACACGCCTGTTATTAATAGCTTGTATAAAAATCTAGCATAATAAAATCTTTTATTTTACTTATTTTATAAAAAGCAAAAAAATTATATTTATAATACTTTTATAATTTATAAGGGCCTTATAATTTATAGCTATTTTACTAGGTAATAAAATTTTTATAAATAAAAATAATTATTTTATAATAACCTAATTTATATTTAATTAAAGTTATTTATTAATAATAGCTATTACTACTGCGAGGTTCTTATATTACTTTTTATTTTTTATTTTTTTTACCTTTTTTATAAGCTTTAGGCATTTTAGCTTAATATACTTAATTTTTTTATAATAATAATATTAAGGCTCTTATTTTTACTTTTTTTTTTATAAAGATAGGCTTTTTTATTTTATAATTACCTATTTTTTGCAAAGACCCCTTATACTTATTTTATAAAAAATTAATTTTTATAAATTTTAACTTAATGTTTGGTGCACCTTATAAAAGGGAAAGGTTTAGTTAAAATTTAATAATTAAAAAAACTAGTTTTATAAGTATTTTTAAAAAATATAGCTATTCGCGGACCTTTTATTTTATTATAAAAAATAAAATTTAAAAAATATTTATAAAAAAATTATGTTTATTTTACCCCCTTAATTACCTAATTTTAATTATTACTTTTTTTATTATTACAGGTACGCGTAGTTTAACTTTTTTTTATTAAAAGTTATATATAATACCTTGCTTTATGCTATATATAGTTAATTTATAAAATTTTTTAGTTATTTAAAAAAAAATTATAAAGGGTATTTTAAATTAAATATTTTAGGATTTTTATTTTTATAGCTTATTATCCCTATAAAACTAAATTTAAATAAAGTATTATAAACTTTAATACCTTTTTTTTATAAAAAGCTATTTACTTTTTTAAATATATTTACCTTTTTTATAAAGGCATAGTAGTTACTATAAGTAGTAATTTTATATTACTTTTTTTACTAGGCAGCCGCGAGATAAGCAGTTTTTTTTATAAAAAAAAAATAAAATTACTTATAAAACTTATTAATAAATTACTTTTTTAAAAGCTTTTTATAAATCTTATAAATAAGCTATTTTACCTTTTTAGCCTTTTTAATATATATAACTTACAGGCGTAGCTTGTTTAGGCTAAGTTTTTTAAGTAAATAAATATTTTTTTTAATTATTTATAAATAATTTTAGCTATTATTTTTTTTAATAAAAATATATTAAAATTTAAATTACTATTTTTTAAATTTTTTTTTATAATTATAAATAGGTTTACTTATAAAAAATAAATAGGTTTTTTCCTAAATAATCTTATAAAAGGTTATTTTTAATTATTATAAAAATACTTAAATAACTTATAATATTAGTATAAGCTACCCCTAATAAACTAAATATATTAATAAGTATTAAAATTATAAGGTCCTTGGCCTTTAAAATTTATAAATAATATAATAAAATATAATATACTTAAAAAAAGGTTTATAAATAGTAATTTTAAAAAAAATAAAAATATTAAAATTAATACTAAAATTTAAATCTCTGGCCTCGCGGAGGCAAATTTTCTTAGTATATATTAAGTTAATACCTAAAGGCTAACTTAGTTATCCGCAAGTAAAACTATCCGCGGATATTTTTAAGTCTTGTAAAAGGGCTATATATAGTATAATAGGCCTTACATTATTATTATTAAAAACTAAAGCTAGCTTTTAAATTTATATTATTATTAAATAAATATTTTTAGCCCAGGGGCCAGCCCCTTTACCTTTTAATTTCAAATAATTTATTATAAGGGTTACTACATGTAGCTATATATTATATTAACTATAAAATTATTTAAAATACTAAGTACTTACGCGGGAGCCTAAAGGCTATAAGTAAGTAAATTAAATAAGTAAATAAGTATAGGCCTATATTAAAACCTAGGCTTTTATAAAAAAACCTTTAAAATTATAACTTTATATAGTTATTACTTTTTTAATAATATATTTAAAAAATAAAGTATAAATAAGTACTGCTTATAGTACCTTAGGTTATAAATAACCTTTTTAATATTATATTTTATATTTAGTTAGCTTACTTTAGTTTTAACCTAAAAAATAATAATTATAATTAAACTAAATTTTATAACTACCCCCTTATATTATAATATATTAAAATATTTAAACCATGCCCGGTATGGTACTATATATATATAAAATTTTTAAAAACCTTAGCTTTTTTAATATTACTTAATAAGCTAACCCAGGAGTATTATAGGTAATATAAAAAAATATAAAAATTAAAAATAAAAGGCTATTAAAATATTAGGACTAATTAATATAATTATTTTTAATATTACTTAAAAGGTATATTTATAAAGGGCTTTTTAATATTACTTAATAAGCTAACCTTAATAAAACCACGGGTAACATAAAAATATATAAAAATATTAAATATTAAAGGTTAATAATATATAATTATTATTTAATATAAATACCTTTAATATTACTTAAAAAATTTATTAATAAAAAAACTACTTAAAATAATATACTAGGTGCAGGGATAAAAATATATAAAAAATAATAATAATAATTTAGTAATTAGGTATATTATTTTTAAATATAGTATTTTAATTATTTACTTTTATATTTTTACTAACCCCTTAATAATAGGAAATATAAGTATAAATATTTAAGTATATAAAAATTATTTTAGGGGGCCTAGTTTATATAAGGTAAAGGTAATAATAAAAAAATCTTATATAAACTAGGCCTGTAAATTTACTTATTTTAAACTTATAAAAATTAATTAAGACTAAATTTTAATTAAATATTAAATAATATTTAAAAAATATAAAATAATATTTAAAAAATATAAAATAATATTTAAAAAATATAAAATACTAATTTTAAGCCCCAAGGTACTATAATTAAAAAAGTTATATAAATATAAAGGGGGGATTAAAGTATTAATAAATATTAAGTATAATTAAACTTAAAAAACCACACGGGGTATATATACTAATTATATAAGTATTAAAATAAATATATATATTTAAAAGGTGTATAGAAAGAAGTGGTAAAAGCTAGTAAAATTAATATATTTTTTATTAAGATATAAAAAGGGGTAGTAAACTATAATAAAATAAAAAATTATATAACTATAAAAACAAAGCTAAGCATATATAATGGGTAATATATTTCACTAGAAATTAAAAAGGTGAAACACTTTTTTTCCTTGTTGGGAATTTATGAATTAATCCACTAGTTAATGACTAAGCAAGCCTGGGACGTCATCCCACCTCAGGGCGTCCTCGATACATGGATTCTTTCTCATCTGCATTTACGTACCTAGGTACCTAGCGAGCAACAATATCCATCATCTCTTGAACATCAAAATGCCAACCCCGCCAACTCTAGTCCTCATTCCAGGCTCCTGGCACAAGCCCGCCTGCTACGACCCCATCATCGCCCTTCTCCAAACCACCCACCACCTCCCTTACCTCGCCATCACCCTCCCCTCCACAACCGGCAACCCAGACGCAACATTCAAAGACGATATCGACGCCGCCACATCCGCGATTGCATCCCAGACCGCGCAGGGGAAGGACGTCGTCGTCATCGCCCACTCCTACGGCGGGATGGTCGGCAACAGCGCCATCAAGGACTTCACACGCCCGCGGCAAAGCCAGCCTCCAATCGCAGTCGCAGCTCCAGGAGAAGACGGGGACCAAGACAAAAGGCAAGGCTCCGTCATCGGCCTCATCCTCATCGCCTCAGGCTTCACCTTCACGGGCCTCTCCTTCATGGACCCGTTCCTGGGCCACCCGCCGCCCTTCTGGAGCGCAAACTGGGCCACCGGGTTCGCGGAGCTCGTGGACCCCCCGGGCCCCAAGGCGCTGTTCTACCATGACCTGCCGGACGCCGAGGCAGAGTACTGGGTGTCGCAGCTCACGCTGCAGTCGCTGAAGGCGCTGTTCGAGGGCGGCGAGTATGCGTATGCGGGGTGGAAGGACGTGCCCACGTGGTATCTGGGCACGGTGCTGGATCGGGGGCTGCCGGTTGTTGTGCAGCGGTTGGCGGTTGGGATGGCCAGGGCGATGGGGGGTGATGTGCAGCATCGGGAGGTGCGGAGTAGTCATTCGCCGTTTTTGAGTGTGAGGGAGGAGACGGTGGGTGTTGTTGTTGAGGCTGTTGAGGCGTTTACGGGGCTGGCCAACGTGAAACAGACGGAGGCTGAGGCTGAGGCCGACTCTGGGACTGTCAGCGCTGGGCCCAAGGGACGTAGTTATGAGGGTGACGGGGTAGTGGTACCAAGCCCGAGGTTATGGAGGCCGCTTACGTGGGTCAAGTTCGGGGTGCCGCTTGTGTTTGGGCGTTTGGTGGGAACGGGGATTGTGGCTTTCACTTGGGGGAGAAGGCTGTGGAGGTCGAGGTTTGGGTTGCGTAGTGTGTAACACTCGTGTTTCTTGTAGGATAAATCAAGTCTCCTCTCTCTAATGAGTGTACGCTAACAATGAATGGAATTAGAACCATGTTCTTGTTCCCCTTCCCAACCTTGGAATGCTTGGTAGGTGTGGATAGAGGCAGCAATGATGAAGAGAAGTATAAAGACAACGGCGGCGCCAGTTGAGAAGTTGTATTTGTACAGCTTGGATTCAGAAGTTGGTAGAGAAGAAAAGACAGATTAAAGGAAGTAAGGAATAAAGCAAAGGTGCCATAGGGTACAGTATCATTTAGGGCAGGGATTGCGCAGAGGGGACCTCGGAAAGGTTAATGAGTGGCAGGTTCAGTTTAGTATAAATGCAAATACTAATTCAACTGGCTCTTTCCAGGCATCAACATAGGAAAACAATTCTAGGGTCCACGGACACGGGATAATTGTGTATCAAAAAGAGTCCGTAGATATATCCATAGGCTAAAACCTAAAACCTGCACCGCACTGAAGCTGTTGCATGTCTACGAGGTAGCCAAGTATCATCAGTATTATCATTCATTCTAGACAATTCTGCTCCCCATGGCAAGGACCATGTTTATCCTTGACGCTGGAACTATCGTAGACTCCAAGATTTTACTGTGCCAGATGGGCGTTCTAAGTATTAAAATCAATGCAGGTACCTACCGTACCTATGATTGGCATGTATTCTATCAAAGGAAGAGGCGCAGAATGATACCAGTGAGGGCAGTGTCAGCCTAGGTTAGGTAAACCTGTTTTATTCCTTTTAATCTATTTACTGCTGATGTCATACGATAAGCGTTGCATTAGGCTGGAGCTTCAAATGGAGTATATAATAGGTAACACTCGCTCAGGATACCCCTCTTTCCATCGGTGCTCTCAAAAAGGCGGGCGTGTCAAAGATTCTATGGTTTCACGATGGCCACAGAGCCAGGCCAGATCCGCCCAGTCCCCAACTCAACAACCCCCTACTGGCGCAGCGACCCCCACCGTCTCGACGAACACCGCTCCACAGCGCACCTTCCCCAAGAAGCAGACATCGTGATTATCGGAACCGGCATCGCCGGCGTCTCCACAGCATACCACCTCGTCGGCTCCAACAAAAACAACGGGGAGACGTCCCAACGCGGACCCTCCATCCTCCTCCTCGAAGCACGACAGGTCTGCTCGGGCGCGACCGGCCGCAACGGCGGGCACATCAAGAAGCTCCCGTCGACGATAATCGACCTGATTGACAAGAATGGTCTCGCTGCCGCGGAGGAAATCGTCCAGTTCGTGCGGGCGAATATCTACGGCGTCAAGCGCGTTATTGAGGACGAAGGGATCCAGGCTGAGGCGGAGTTGAGGCGGAGCTTTGATGTCTCGCTTCAGGAGGGCGATGCAGAGAGTGTGAAGAGGAATTTTCACGAGCAGTTGCGGTCGGGGTTCCCACTTACGGAGGATGTTGGATATGTTGGCGAGGAGTTTGCGGAGCGCGTAAGCCTGTCTTGTTCGCCTTGATACCTGGTGTATAGGTGGATGCTAATATTGATGCCAGATAACGTCCATCCACGGCGCAAAAGCAGCTCTCAGTACACCCGTCCTATCACTGTGGCCGTACAAGTTCGTGACGCAGCTCCTCGAGCGAACCCTAAATAAGGGCAATGTGAACCTGCAAACGAACACACCCGTAACAAGCATCGAAACCCACATCAACGGCAACGACCAGAACCAACAGATTTATACCATCAAGACCGACCGCGGCAGCATCAAAACGCCAACAATCATCCTCGCAACAAACGGATACACCGCCGGCCTCCTCCCGCAATACCGGTCCATCATCACGCCCGCCAAAGCCACGGCCTCGCACATCACGGTTCCAGAAGGCAAGTCCGCGCCTGCGCCGTCTCTTTCGAATACATACAACATCCGCTACGCACCCAATCGGGTGGACTACCTCAACCCGCGACCCGACGGAGGTATCGTCGTCGGCGGCGGGCAATGGACATACCGCGAGAACCGCGCGCTTTGGTGGGATGTCTACGATGACTCGACGCTGATTGAGCCGGCGAGACATTACTTTGACGAACTGATGCAGCGCGTTTTCAGGGGTTGGGAGGATTCCGGTGCGGAGACGGAGAGTGTATGGACGGGGAGTAAGTGACTGTCTTGATACCAGTTGGCTCAAGGACGATGTAGAGCGCTAACCATGTATTGCATTGCAGTCCAAGGAATCACGCCAGACGGACAACCGCACATCGGCAAGGTCCCTGGTAGCTCGGGGCTGTATATCCTGGCAGGATATAACGGGGGAGGCATGGCGTATGCGTTTGAGGCCGCCCGTGGTGTAGCGCGGATGGTGAGAGATGAGATTTGCTTTGAAGAGACGGGGATACCAAAGTGCATGAAGACGACGGAGGCCCGGATCGCACGATAGGGCTTGCTCGGTTTTTGGACTTAGATAAGTATCGATTTTTGAGCCTACCTCGACGCCTCGTGGGTAATTTTGCTATCGCCTGACTGGCTATGGGTTTTAGCTTTCTGAGAGCTGTCTGACCGGCCGAACCTGGATTCTACTCGTCGAATTCTATAGTTCCTATCTGAGACGACCCATTCCTTGATTTGACCGAGCAAAGGGAGTTAGTTCGGCACTTGAGTATATAGGGTATGTTTCTATGCATCTACATTGGGTGTAGCAAACCGACCGAGTGTCCGACCAGCTTATCAGCGACTATTAGTCCTAGGAATCTAACATTCGAACTCGTAAATGAGATGGAGCCTGTCAGATTGCTGTTTCCCGATACAGTGGTACTGTGGTACTTAGTACTATGTCAAGTATAGAGTGGAGCCTCGGGAATGTTGCGGCGGGAGGGTCCGCCGGGCCGGAACTCAATCCCGTCGTTCTTTTCCCTTCCATTGTTTGCTTGGAAGGCTCGCAGAATTTGTCATCTACAGCGGGGATGATGGCAATTCATCAACCCACAGTGCGCTTAGCACATCTCCGGACAGACAACCAGAAACAATGGTGCCAACCAGGTACCTGATTAGGCAGCTATCCTCTACGGCCTAGCCGATGTCGTCACCTGCAGAGCAGCGCTTGGATCCTTGTTTAGTCTCGAGGAGACGAGATACGGAAAGAGTGCTGGAGGAGGACGGAGCCAGCAGGAAGAAGAGGTGCGTGGAAGTGGTGTGATCCATGCCCGTCCCTACCACCCTACCAGGACATGGGATGTATTAGGTGAGCTGGTGATGACGGACCAGCTGGGCAAGAAAGGATGGTGAGGTTGGAAGATGACGGAACCAGCAGAGGAAGAAGAGAAAGTGTGGATGCGGAATGATATGAATGTGAGCCGGTGATGACGGACCAGCTGGAGGAGGAGAAGGATTAGGTGAGCTTAGTGATGACGGACCTGCTAGGCAAGGACGGAAGAGGTAGCTGGAGGATGACGGAACCAGCAGAGGAAGAAGAGAAGGTGTGGATGCGGAAGGATATGAAGGAGATGAGTTAGGTGAGCCGGTGATGACGGACCAGCTGGGCAAGGACAGGGTGATGAATTAGGTGAGCTTAGTGATGACGGACCTGCTAGACAAGGACGGAAGAGGTAGCTGGAAGATGACGGAGCCAGCAGAGGAAGAAGAGAAGGTATGGAAGCGGAAGGATATGCAAGGGAGATGAATTAGGTAAGCTTAGTGATGAGACGCACCTGCTGAGCAAGGATGGAAGAGGTAGCTGGAAGATGACGGAGCCAGCAGAGGAAGAAGAGAGTTATAGAAGCGGAAGGATATGAACAAGGGAGATGAATTAGGTGAGCTTAGTGATGAGACGCACCT